AGCTCGATGCATTCAACAAGTCAATACCTCTCACAAATACAAGTAGTGATGAAGTCAATCTCTCCTCCACTTTGAGCCAGGAGAGATTGACATGCATATTACAGTTTTTCTCAATTGTTTACACACAAATACTGGTACTTGAGACACAATGACCACAACATGTAACTCATGCACCAACCCCCTGAACCAATTCTGCTAAACTACAAGCACAATTCCTGCTTTACACTCAAATTGCAGTTCTACAACACACTTTTTGCAAAACACTACACACAAATCTTAACATTTGGCACAATTTTCATGCAGAAAATCTCTTGTTTTCACAATGAACACACTGCCATTCAAATATGCACACTGACTCATCACATGGGCAAACACCCGTCACACAGTTTTACAATTAGCAATCAGAGCTTTAGCATAAAAAGGCAACAGGTGAGCTCTTCTGTTTTGGAGCAATGGATGCCAACATTGGAGGAGGAGGAGGAGGAGGAGGAGGAGGAGGAGGAGGAGGAGGAGGAGGAGGAGAAGGAGGACCGTAATCTCTGATGAGATCCGAGCCACTTCATCATCCGGACATTCCGAAATGAGAATAGGTAAGAAATCTACTCTCACTAGTAAATTGCAGTACTGCATATCAATACAGTACTCAATGAGTACAGTAGTACAGTATTGCCTGTGGACTATTCTGTAGGACTGTAAAAATAAAGTATGTTTCAAGTATTTGGGAAATGTATTTCTACTTTGTATTTACAGCATTTTACTATTTGTTTGGCAGAACTGAAAGATTACCAACACAAGGTGGTCGGGAACGTGTTCTGTCTCCTGAACAGGAAACTGAAATCATGAACATGGTCCTAGAAAATAACGCCATAACATTACGGCAAATACAAAGAAAAATAATAGAAAACAATGAGACATTTCAAAATATTGATAGGGTAAGCTTATCAACACTGGACCGTGTCTTGCGCAGAAATAATCTCAGGATGAAGCAGGTCTACAGGGTGCCATTTGAACGCAATTCAGAAAGAGTCAAAGAATTGCGATATAACTATGTGCAAGTGAGTCCTATACAATTCCACAATTGATGCATACTCTCAACACTGTATAAATTATACATATTTCAGTATTGTAATCATAATGATTGTGCTTCACAATAGTGACCACTCCATGTCTATTTCTGATATTGTCATGTGTGTTTCAGAGAGTCCTTGAGCTAGAGGTGGCTGCAGTGGAGCACCAGTTCATCTTCATTGATGAGGTTGGATTCAACCTCACAAAAAGACGAAAGAGGGGAAGGAATATCATCGGCCAGCGCGGAGGGAACATGTTCAAGTCCCTGGCCAGCGCGGAGGGAACATCACAATGTGTGCAGCGATTACCCACCACGGCGTCATCCATCACCATGCTACCCTTGGCCCCTACAACACCGCCCATCTGATCACATTCCTGGACACCCTACACAACACACTCATTCCACCAGATCTCCCTCCATATTCTCCATTCCTCAATCCTATTGAGGAATTTTTTTCTGCCTGGAGATGGAAAGTGTATGACCGAAATCCACAAACGCGTATACCTCTTCTCCAAGCTATGGAAGACACGTGGAGATATAGCAGCTGATGCTTTTCATGGCTGGAATCGCCATGCTAGGCGATATTTCCCCCGATGCTTGGCCAGGGAAAACATTGCTTGTGATGTGGATGAGGTGCTGTGGCCAGACCGCAACAGAAGAGAGGATGCAGCATAGTTTATTATTATTATTATTATTTTTATTTTTTACTGTAACTGTATACATTAAATTCTTCTGTTTTGTATGTAGACCACTGTCTGTGCAACTTTGTGTTGGTTGGGAATGGGATGTATACTGTGTACATTGTTTTTGTGGGAAAAATGAAATATATTTGTTACCGTGTATTTGTGTGTTCTGAGTATAAAAGCAATATTCTCAAATATTTTACAAAACACTTATGTATGTACTGTCTGTAGTAATGGCAACACTGAACCAAAAAAAGGCCTAAGTCATTATGATAAATGGAGAAGAAGTGTTTTCCATTCATCATAGTGTTTTACATTGAGCACATCAGTGTTCAACTGGTTCTTATAAATGTCTATTCATATGATGGTTTGTGTGTGTCATTTGAAAACAAAATACCATTTTGATAAGAAATAACATTGTTTTGAATGTAAAGATTCATTTTGCTGGAGAATTGAGGGGTTTTGCCCATTGTGTGTGTGTTTTTTGATTTGTGTGTAGAGTTCTGAGAATATGAGGCATGCTTTCAGAAAATGTGTGTAAACAATCAAGAAAAACTGTATTAATTTTAGCTCTCTGTGTACATCCAAGGGCCAGCAGGGCTGCCCTGTTCTGAGCCAATTGCAATTTTCCTACGTCCCTCTTTGTGGCACCTGACCACACGACTGAACAGTGGTCCAGGTGCGACAAAACTAGGGCCTGTAGGACCTGCCTTGTTGATAGTGCTGTTAAGAATGCAGAGCAGCGCTGTATTATAGACAGACATCTCCCCATCTTAGCTACTGTTGTATCAATATGTTTTGACCATGACAGTTTACAATCCAGGGTTACTCTACGCAGTTTAGTCTCCTGAACTTGCTCAATTTCCACATTATTCATTACAAGATTTAGTTGATGTTTAGGGTTTAGTGAATGATTTGTCCCAGATAAAACGCTTTTTGTTTTTTAAATATTTAGGACTAACTTATTCCTTGCCACCCATTCTGAAACTAACTGCAGCCATTTGTTAAGTGTTGCTGTCACTTCAGTCGCTGTGGTAGCTGACATGTATAGTGTTGAATCATCCGCATACATAGACACACTGGCTTTACTCAAAGCCAGTGGCATGTTGTTAGTAAAGATTGAAAAAAGTAAGTGGCATAGACAGCTGCCCTGAGGAATTCCTGATTCTAACTGGATTTTGTTGGAGAGGCTTCCATTAAAGAACACCCTCTGTGTTCTGTTAGACAGGTAAATCTTTATCCACAATATAGCAGGGAGTGTAAAGCCATAACACATACGTTTTTCCAGCAACAGACTATGATCGATAATGTCAAAAGTGCTGTAACTGCATCAAGAGTAACAGGACCAGGGTCAAGGCCAGGTTCATCGTTGGAATATTCTTCATCCTGGCTGGTATCCTGCAACTCACCACTGTCTTCTTCGTCTATTTCTTGACAAATAATATTCCAGAATTCCTGTGGGTGCTTTTGTTATTTTTTGTTGAATTCTGTAGATGGTCCGCCTCTATGCTCCTGATAGGAGGGACCATACTCTGCTGCAGCACCTTGAAGAGGAAGAACCCAGACTCGACAACGACTACATCAGCCTCCCACTAATGTCTCTGTCCAAAAGCTGTACTTTCTTGTTATAAAAACCATAGGGATCCAATAATTGTGATTCTATATGTAATTCTATGATGAGAAACGGCCTCTAGCCAATCTGTTCAATATTAGAATATCAGAAGGGACTAGATAGGTGTGAAAGCAACATAGTTATTGTTCCACCTTGTCTTTAACAGGTCAAAGAGGAGTTTATGACATATTGAGTTCAAACATTCAGTTAATTTAGACTGTGAGAAGTTGTTCCTGAGGAGACTACAATGAAGGGACATATTCTCACTGTTACCTCTCTGATTTCCGATGCCCGTATAGATACTTCTCTTTATGTTTCTTTAAAATGGGATGAATTTAAGTGGAGAAAGAGTTGAATCAGAAGTTGATTGTTTAACTCTGTTAAAGATGTTCAAATAAAAAAACGTATCTGACTGCAAAGCGTTTCCTGGTTGCTGCCGTGCATTTCCTGTTTATGTTCACCACGTTAACCACAAGCTACAGTCAGTGAGTGGGACTTTCTGACTGAAACATATATCATAGTGTAGAATTATATCAAGACATGTCCATGAAACTGTTATCATTAGTCTATGTAGTCTATTGTATAGTTCATTTCAGTCCATCAATCCAACCTTACAATTATTTATTACACACTCAAGGGTTTTTCAGCATGTAGTTTCAATCTAACTCTGAATGTCACCAGTATCTCCCTCAAGCAGGTCTCAACCACATACTGCCCAACATCTGAATGAATAGGTTGTTTTCATGACAACATATTTAAGTGACATCCCAGCATCACGTAGATGTAGTGGCCTTGTGACTAACCCAGATCTCCATTTACAGTAGAATCAGAAGGCGAGAACATGTGGAAGATAATGTTATGTTGTTCTAGAACTTTGTTGGTAAAGACTGGGGGTTTTGGGGGTCAAGGTCTACGTGGTCGGAACCAAGTGCACCAACTGCATCAAAGAATAAACTTCTCAGGCCACGTTGATAATCATCTCTGGAAAACTTCATCCTGGCCGGAATGTTCATCCTCATCCCTGTTTCCATGGTAGCCATTTCAATCATCAGTGATTCCTCTACTAGGATTGGAGGAAAGACTGAGCTGGGGGCCTTGCTGTACTTCGGCTGGGGGCGGCCGCCCTGCTCCTGGGCATGGGCACAGGCAACTGTTTTGGGTTACTTGGCTCAATTCAATAGGTGGTCTGCCTCCATGCTTCTGATAGGAGGGACCATACTCTGCTGCTGCATCTTCAAGAGGATCCAGACAGACTCAACAACGACTCAATCAACCTCTTGCTAACAGCTCTGTCTGCAAAAGGTCATAGAGGAGTTTATGTCATATTGTGGTTGGGACCATAGTCTGGTGCAGCTGCTGCTGCTACTGCTTTAAGAGAGACATTCCCAACTTCACAACTCACTAAAATTCCATCACTGGTATCTTATATGATCTTATGTTACCATATCACAGTGTCTCTCAATAGAAGTGCACAGAATTAGTCTTCAAAAAGTCTTAGGGGAGCTTGTGCAATATTGCCATATTGCTTACTTCTGACAGGACAACAACAAAACAGTTGGGGTAGAAACAGGCTCACCAGTTCCTCACACACGGTAACGACCACACACTTCACCACATCTGTACAGGTTGTGTTTCCATGGCAGCAGATGACGTCAAGCGCCCTTGGGCTTCTGACTGGCCGGGCTCTCTAGTATCACAGAAGAACTCTGCAACAAACATCTGTGAGAAAAGAACGTTGAACAATCTGCTGTTTTAGAACTTTGCTTGCAAACAATGAAGCTGTAGGCCTGTAGAATCCAGGATCTTCTATGGAAATATAACATCTCCACTGTTCTGGAGTCTCTTTGTTGAGTCACATCCTTGTTCTTCCAGGAAGTGCATGTTGATGGGCATGGAGATCGTGGGCATCACTATGGGAGTAATGGGATGGATTGTCTCCATAGTGGCCTGTGCTTTGTTTACATCGGGATTGATGGACTTTCCACAGTACAGAGAGGTCAGACTAACTCAGATCATCACCTACTTCTCCATTATTCTAGGGTTGCTAGGGATGATACTCTCCATCTCATCTACAGTGCACCAAATGTACCCAGAGAAATATGAATATGTCTAAAGTTGAAGTGATTATCTTTCGCAGAATATTCCTCATCCTGGCTGGTCTCATCCACCTGATCTTGATCTTCTTGGTTGCCCTTGACTTGACACTAAACTCGGACCATGAGAACTTCCTGCGGAGTAATAACCTGATGTTCTCAGCTGAATTTAATAGGTGGGCCGCTTCACTGCTTCTGATAGGAGGGACCATATTCTGCCGCAGCTTCATAAAAAAAAAAGCCTAAGTTGACAACTGACTCTGATTCCCTAAATCGTGTCTTACACAACCTTAATTTATCTGAGCCATTCTACCACTCTAAGCAATAGGTTGTAAGCAATACATACAGTATAGTTGTCAGCAATATGATTATTGATAATGGCTACACTTTAAATGTTAGTCTTCAATGCAGACTTTGATCAGTTGAATCAGGTGTGTTACTGCCTGGCTGGAACAAAAGCCTGCACCCACACTGGCACTTTCAGGGACTGATATTGTTCTTTGAATCAGTAACCCTTACTATAAATGGCCACATAAAATATATTGCCATGTGTTGAATCAGTGATGCACAGAATCGACTCACAGTTACCACTTCCTTTTAAAACCACTTGAGAGGGAGATGTAAGCATGCTGTCTAAGGGCTGGGGTTGAAGTGGGATGTTTCTATAGGTGGTGGAAATACCACCAAATTAAACAACTTTTCCATTATTATTTACAATAAAATGCAACTCTTATTAAATTGCAACTCTTGTGCTGTCTGCTGACTTCATTTGGTGGAACCTCGTTCTTCTTCCTACCCCGTGGTCTGAGTTGATAACCAGAAGTTAGTGGGTCAAAAATACGATTCCATCATCGCCAATGTAAGCTAGGGTGGACTTAGCGATTTGGGAGCCCATTTCAAAATGCCTTTGAGGGGACCCCCTACCCACCAAAATGGACATTTCCCCTATAAATGAACTGCTAAAATTATTAATGTGCGTTAATTTCTTATTTATTTCAGGCAATTATGAAATGTAAACACCCTATAAAGCTGTGGCTAACACATTTGGGTAAAAACAACTGTCAGAATCAGTCGGTAAGGGCCCCATGACAGCTGTGTGTAAGTTACTTGCTGTTTTCTCACCCATCACTTCCTCTCTGTTTCTGTCCTGCCAACCCTAGGCCAAGTTTACACCTGACATCTCTTATCGAACGCAGACACCAGCCTGACCTATTTACCATAAACGCTCAACTTCACGTCTGCTTCATTAATTTCTCACTATGGTTTCCTGTAAAAGGGCAAAAGAAATTGGTCTATCTGTTCATATCAACTGATTTAGATTTAAACCTAACTGTTTTTTCCCCATTTGGTCACAGCTGCAGACATAATTATGACTTCTTCCTAATATTTCATAGTAATTCTGAAGTTGAGTTGATATCACTAGGCTCCCCATTTCTAGCTAGTTCCTTATTGGTGTCTGTGTCTGAGTAGTGAGGAACTACAAGGACATAGTTTTGATCTGGTTCTGTTCGTAAAGTCATTTTCAGTAGAAATGAAAAAGTCAGGGATGAACGGCATACAGTGTTGTATTTTTGTTTACAGCTCCTTTATTGCAGTAGGGTCACCCAGGGATCTTATGAAATATGTTTTGTTAGTGTGTGTTGGGTCATATATTCCTCAGCAGGATCCAAGAGGTTTAAGGAAATGTATTTGGATATACACTGACTCTCTGTGTGTTGATCTGCCCTTTAAAGACATCCCCATATAGTGTAAACAACTGTTCTATTTCTACTGACATTCTATGTACAGTGGGGAATTTTTTTTTAGTCAGCCACCAATTGTGCAAGTTCTCCCACTTAAAAAGATGAGAGAGGCCTGTAATTTTCATCATAGGTACACGTCAACTATGACAGACAAATTGAGAGAAAACAATTCCAGAAAATCACATTGTAGGATTTTTTATGAATTTATTTGCAAATTATGGTGGAAAATAAGTATTTGGTCACCTACAAACAAGCAAGATTTCTGGCTCTCACAGACCTGTAACTTCTTCTTTAAGAGGCTCCTCTGTCCTCCACTCGTTACCTGTATTAATGGCACCTGTTTGAACTTGTTATCAGTATAAAAGTCACCTGTCTACAACCTCAAACAGTCACACTCCAAACTCCACTATGGCCAAGACCAAAGAGCAGTCAAAGGACACCAGAAACAAAATTGTAGACCTGCACCAGGCTGGGAAGACTGAATCTGCAATAGGTAAGCAGCTTGGTTTGAAGAAATCAACTGTGGGAGCAATTATTAGGAAATGGAAGACATACAAGACCACTGATAATCTCCCTCGATCTGGGGCTCCACGCAAGATCTCACCCCGTGGGGTCAAAATGATCACAAGAACGGTGAGCAAAAATCCCAGAACCACACGGGGGGACCTAGTGAATGACCTGCAGAGAGCTGGGACCAAAGTAACAAAGCCTACCAGCAGTAACACACTACGCCGCCAGGGACTCAAATCCTGCAGTGCCAGACGTGTCCCCCTGCTTAAGACAGTACATGTCCAGGCCCGTCTGAAGTTTGCTAGAGTGCATTTGGATGATCCAGAAGAGGATTGGGATAATGTCATATGGTCAAATGAAACCAAAATAGAACTTTTTGGTAAAAACTCAACTCGTCGTGTTTGGAGGACAAAGAATGCTGAGTTGCATCCAAAGAACACCATACCTATTGTGAAGCATGGGGGTGGAAACATCATGCTTTGGGGCTGTTTTTCTGCAAAGGGACCAGGACGACTGATCCGTGTAAAGGAAAGAATGAATGGGGCCATGTATCGTGAGATTTTGAGTGAAAACCTCCTTCCATCAGCAAGGGCATTGAAGATGAAACGTGGCTGGGTCTTTCAGCATGACAATGATCCCAAACACACCGCCCGGGCAACGAAGGAGTGGCTTCGTAAGAAGCATTTCAAGGTCCTGGAGTGGCCTAGCCAGTCTCCAGATCTCAACCCCATAGAAAATCTTTGGAGGGAGTTGAAAGTCCGTGTTGCCCAGCGACAGCCCCAAAACATCACTGCTCTAGAGGAGATCTGCATGGAGGAATGGGCCAAAATTCCAGCAACAGTGTGTGAAAACCTTGTGAAGACTTACAGAAAACGTTTGACCTGTGTCATTGCCAACAAAGGGTATATAACAAAGTATTGAGAATAGTTTGTTATTGACCAAATACTTATTTTCCACCATAATTTGCAAATAAATTCATAAAACATCCTACAATGTGATTTTCTGGAAAAAAAAATCTCATTTTGTCTGTCATAGTTGACGTGTACCTATGATGAAAATTACAGGCCTCTCTCATCTTTTTAAGTGGGAGAACTTGCACAATTGGTGGCTGACTAAATACTTTTTTCCCCACTGTATGTAGACAGACAGGCAGGCAGACAGACAGACAGACAAAGAAAGGCAGTGTAAAGCCAATATACATGTCCCTGAACTCAGCCAATCCTTTATGAAGAATATGAACTTGTCTACTTGATGCTGCTTTGATTTGAGTCATTACTTTGTGTTCCTGTGAACACCTGTCCTTGTGTGCGCCACAAATGGAACCCTATTCCCTACATAGTAAACTACTTTTGACTAGAGCCCTATGTTTGGGTCCTTCACCTTGTCCTTTATCCCTGAGTGAAGGGTCCTTCATCCTTGAGGGAAGGGGCCTATATCCCAGAGGGAAGAGTGTTTTATCCCTGAGTAAGGGTCCTTTATCCCTGAGGGAAGATTGTTTTATCCCTGAGGGAAGGGTCCTTTATCCCTGAGGGAAGGGTCCTTTATCCCAGAGGGAAGAGTGTTTTACCAATGAGGAAAGGGTCCTTTATCCCTAAAGGGAAGTGTCCTTTAACTCACCTTGAGTGAAGGGTCCTTTATTTATCCCTGGGGGAAGGGTCCTTTATCTCTGAGAGAAGGGTACATTATCCCTGAGGGAAGGGTGTTTCATCTCTGAGGGTAGAGTTCTTTATCCCTGACGGAAGTGTCCTTTATCCCTGAGAGAAGAGTGTTTTATCCCTGAGGGAAGGGTCCTTTATCCCTGAGGGAAGAGTGTTTTATCCCTGAGAGAAGTGACCTCTATCCCTGAGGGAAGGGTCTTTTAATTATCCCTGAGGGAAGGGTTATTTCTCCCTGAGTGAAGGGTATTGTCATGCCCTGGCTCTGGGGACTCTTAAATGTTGAGCCAGGGTGTGGATTTTCATTGTTTAGTTTTCTATTTTTTTCGTTCTAGATCGTGTATATCTATGTTGGCCAGGGTGGTTCCCAATCAGAGACAGCTGTAGCTCGTTGTCTCTGATTGGGGCCAATACTTAGGCAACCTTTTGGCATTTTAGTTTTGTGGGATCTTGTTCCGTTTGGTTTGTTGTATGACCTAGGACTTCACGTATCGTTTTGTTGTTTTGGTTTGTGTTGTGTACACTAAATAAAGTATGTACGCCTATCATGCTGCGCCTTGGTCCGCTTCTCATAACGATCGTGACAGAAGATCCCACCACCAGAGGACCAAGCAGCGTGCCAAACAGGAGAAGTTGGCTATGTCCCAGGTGGGCAAATGGTGGTCTTGGGAGGACATATTCGCGGGCAGAGGGCCATGGGCAAAAGTAAATGCCCAGGCAGGAGAGGAGAAACGGCGCCAACCGTGCCGACGACGGACACGCGAGAGGCAACCCCAATACATTTTTTTGGGGGGGGCACACGGCGTGGACGACGGGGCTGCTGGAGGCAGCTACAGGACGAATCGGCGGACTAGGAGAGGAGGCCACCAGGTTTGGGGGCCTGGAAGGGTGGTTGGTGGAGCCTAGAGGTAGAGTAGAGCCAACTCCCCGTACTCAGGCTAGGCAGCGTGAGACTGGGCAGGTTCCGGGTTATGCGGAGCCACGTACTGTGCCGCGAGTGTTCCGGCACAGTCCTGTACGTCCTGTGCTAGCACCACGCATGTGTCGTGCTAAGGTGGGCATGCAGCCAGGACGGAGTGTGCCGGCTCAACGCTCGTGGCATCCAGTACCCCTCCTCGTCCCGGATATCCTGCGCCAGTGCCACGTGCTGTAGTGCCAGAACGAGTGCACAGCCCTGTACGTCCTGTGCTGATGCCTCACACAGATTGTGTGGAAATAGGCATTCAGCCAGGACGGGTTGTGTCAGCTCTCCGCTCCAGACCTCCAGTCCGTCTCCACAGTCCAGCCCGGCCTTTTCCTGTCCCTCGCACCAAGGCAGTGGTGCGCATCGCCAGCCCGG